AGTGCAGCACAAACAACGAGATAGTTATCGGATCTGAGATCTTTCTGGATCGTGTTAACGATGAGGATAATGAGGTCGTGATCCTCGTTGAGAAAGAGCGTGACTGCTAGGTAACCGGTACGCTTGAGGAGCAGATTATCATCATGCGTCATCTTCACGGCGTGAATGTAGCCAAAGGAAGCGTCGTGGCCGAGCATCTCAATGTAAACGAGCCGTATAATGTACTCTTTCATCTTCCTCTTGGGCACATCTGGCTCCAGCAACCTCCGTTTCAGTATGTCGATCTCGCTGAGCACGATCCGATCTTCCTCAGCCTTAGATCGTGCCTCGCCGATTGATTTGACCAGATCGAGAAACTCTTTCGACTGACCAAACCCTCCTTGCGATCCCATCGCCAGCTCTCTTCCAATCGTCTTCAGCTGCTCCATTTTTCTCACTCACTCAAATCAAATCCCTAGCACCAAATTTCAACCAGTGATTCTCTCCTTCTTCAACCGATCGATTATCGACGGAACGGCGATTGGATTAAGGCTTTTCCGATCAGGAATCGGAAAAGAGACCATGCGAAAATTGCTCCTCCTTTATATGCTTGTTCCCGTGACCGTCGGCGATAATTCTGATCCAATGGAGCTTAGATCTGGAAGATGAAAAACGTGATTGAGATTTTAGTAACCAAAGAGAGTCTCGTCTTTGCTTAGCCACCAGGTGGTCCTCGATAGCTAAACCAACACGCGTGTGTATCAATCAAATGTCGCTACAGTATACTTTAGAGCTGTTAAACCGGAATTTCGGTTCAAATCACGAGCTATTGAACCCGAATTCGATTTCGTATTGGTTTGAGTTCTATAGTTTTTCCGGTTTTATCTTGGGAACAAATTAAATGCATGGTGATATATCTTTGGTTTGTTAAATTTAGTAGTATGAAAATTATATGTCGTCTAAAGAAAAAGGTTTAATGCAAGAGACAAATTAAATGCATGATAGTATATCTTTGGTTCGTCAAAATCAAGATAAAAATCATATGTTTGTATAAAAAAGAGTTTTAATGTAAGAGACAAATAATTAAATCCATGATATACTTGGTTTATTGTATTACTAGATTAGGCCCCGCGTATACGCGGGTTTATTTTAATTTCCTTTTATAAAAATCATGTGAAAGAATATTAAACAAAATTTGATCACTTTTAAAAATAAGTAAAATAATATTAAAAACCCGATAATAAATCTCTAAATAAACTAAGATATGTAATATTTTTACATTTTAATTTTGAATTCATGATATGAAATAGAAAAGCTTACATGTGTCTAAATCTAATGGACTCGTTAATTTATGAAACTTTGATTATTCCATTGCTGAAACCTTTATTCTAAATATTGATGAATTTTTTTAATATTGTTTTATCTAACAAAAAAATGGAAAATTTAACTATTTAATATTAGAAGATTGGTCCATTATAAAACTTTCTTTTTAATATTATTTAGTTCCTTGATAATTATTTTGTTAGTTTTCTATTTATATTGTTTCTTTTTCAATTTTGTGTTTGCCTCTTACCATTATAAATTTTCATTTTCATTATTAATTAGTTGTTTTACAATTATTTTGTTAGTTTATTTATTTATGTTACTACATTTTTCCAATTTTATTGTGTTGACATATGTCATCACCATCAAATATTAGACACATGTAGCGATCTAAAGTTAATTATTCTTCATTGATATCTTGAACTTTTAAAACATGATTTTTTATTTCTTAATGAGAAAGAAACTTAAAAAATATAGCTTGTTATATTTTCCTTTTCGTATTTGGAATATGTTTTTTTATTCCTTATCTTATTGGATGTAACAATTTTTTAATTATTTCTTCATAATTTTCTGATTTTTCGTTTTTTTTCCTTTTCGTAATAGGATTATGTTTCTTCTTTACTTTTCCTAATGGATGTAATATTTTTTTCTTTTTAATTGTTTATTTCTTTTTTTCTGATTTTTCCTAATGTACAAATAGGATTTTATTTATTACATTATTTTGAATTTTAATATGTGTTTGACAATATAAATTTGATGAATGAGAAATTTTTCTATTATGATATGAAAAATATGATTTTTCTTCTTTTTACTCTAATAGATATTTTTTTAATTTCGTTGTTATCATAGTAATCACAATGTATGTTCTTTGTGTTATGTTAATTTTGTGCAGTGTCGCGTACGAAGTATATTGCGGGTTATCATCCAGTCGAAGGGCTTTACCAGTTTTTCCTCAAAGACATTAAGGTTGATATTATCATTATACGAAAGATCTACTTCATGTTTCTAATCATCGCCTATATCTAATTATGTACTAAGTCAAATTTGTTTCCTTTTCATATAACAGGACTTGAAGGTGAAAAGTGTGCCAGCGCCAAAACCTACCACCAACACTACTAAGGTAAAAAACTGAAACCTGAGGATCTTAAGCAAAGAGGTGTGTAAATGGGAAAGTTTTTTCAAATGGTTTGTATCTTTCTCAGGATGATGAGAAGAGTACTCCTCCAGGCGGTGAAGCATCATCATCCGCTTCAGCTTCCAAGTGACTCTGTTTCACTGCATATACATCGACTCGTATTACTTCCCTTATACATATAACAAAAAAGTCTAAAGTCTCTCTTTCTCATCTTCGGCTTTCCTTTCATGCTTCTTTCTTTTGTACAGAGCAATGTTCATAACTAGACTCTTACTCTAGTTTCCGGTTGTTTTCAGTTTGTGCATATATGCTGAATTCTTTTGATATCCATGGTGGAGTTTATTGAGTAACATTTTCTTCAAGTTTCTGAAACGATACCTGTTTTGTTAATGAAGCATTATCAGATTCTCTTTTGTTAATGTGTTTCATTGAAGATTCTATCAAGAAGATATGAGTTTTCGTTTTGGAGACTCTTGTTTCTTTGGACCTTGTTCAAAATCTAACTCAGGAACTCATTTAATCATCGTTTCATTTGTTAGTTACTGTTTCTGAAATCTGCTAACTCCGTCAAAATATATAGTTTGGTTAGTGTCTATATCACTCAAGTGATCTAAAAAAGGCAAACGAAAGTAATGCATTATGGCCAGAATTGCTTGCGGGCCAAGAAACGATTTTTAGCCGTTGATTATTTCCTACATTGCTTTCCAGACGGAGGATCTTGATTCTGTTGGGGTTTATTGGCGTTAACGGTGTCGTTTTTAAAAAAGAAGAGTGAGGTGTGACGTCGTTTTCACCTTTAATCAGTTCTGGGAATTAATTAGATGCTCAGTCTCCATCAACTAGAAAAAACTTTCACAATCTCTCTTTACGCCAAAAAAACGTTTCGGTTGGCCTCAAAAGTGGAAAACGCAGATTCATTCTAAACGCGAATTCTCACGCTGGAGTCTTGTTTTAATTGTCAGTTCTAAACATTCCAAAAGCGGAAAAAATAGCATTTGCAAATTTGGAACAGTGATCGACAATCATATTTCACATTCTACTAACCAATCTAAATATTTAATATCTATGACCAAGATTGTTTTTCTAGTTAAGTCTCAGAGTTAAAAAAGCGGCATTTAAATAAAAGGAATATAACTACTACACATTGTTTGTATGAATTTTGTTTTTAGTCTCAACCTGTAATGATGATTTGACGTTGGACGCAAACGCTCCAAGAACCGCGGCCAGTGATGTAACGCACAAAACGCCAGACGCTGCAAACACACCGTCCTTCACAAGGTAACACTCACGGTTTAGCCACCCTTTGCCGTATCTCTGCTCTCGGTTCATGCTTGCACCAATGCTTATCAACGTAACTGCAACAGCAAAACTAATCCTGCAATTAAAGAATTATCACTACTAATTCATTTGTTTTCCTTTCTAGATTTTGATTTGACCTCTTTCTTACCAGGAAAACAACAGAAGACATACACAAAACGGCGTCGTTCCCGTTTTGTTTGTTTTCAAGAAACCTCTACAAATCACAACGTTTCCGATGATTTGAGCAACCGAAACACAAACCAGAGCGGCGGTTCCTAACCCGAAAGCATGATTTTCGGGTAAATAACATGATTCTCCGTCCCATTTCAGATCTTTCCCCTGAAAAAAAAAAAAAAAAAACAATTTACTTTACCAGATTCTTTTGTTCTTAATTAGTATACAATAATGGATAACTTGAGCAACAAGTAATCTGGTAAAACCATTCACCTTAGCCTTCTGAAACTCAGACGCGAGGCAAAGGGAAAACGCGGCGAGACCAAACAAAAATATGAAAACGAAAACGAGAGAGAACAACTCGGGTCGCCTCTTCCGAGTATCTTGTTCTTGAACCTCCATTGATTTGTTCTTAAATCCCCAGTGAGGGTAAAAGAGGCTTACTTACTCCACAATTACGGAGAATAACTATTTGTGAACGAATACATATTTTTTATATACGCGTGTTTTGTAAAAGAGTGGATATGTTCTTTGTTGTTATGGTTGGGTTGTTGGGTTCTTTGCTTGGCTTTTGTGTTAATAAAGTTGGTGCTGTTTTGAATCTTAAGTAGATGAAGAGAAGAAACTTTGGTGGGTCAACCCGTTATGGCCTCATTTTCTTTCTTTTTTTTTAGCATCAAATACTTTCTCATTCATATAAAACAGAGTCTTACACACGAGAAGCAGAGGTGGAGAGATCACACAAGTATCTCTTTGCCATGGCATCAGCGGTGACATTTTCTGAGCGATGAACAAAAGCGAAAGCAATAAAAGAGAAAGAAGCAGCGAAATCATAGCCTCATTTTCTACTTTAAATTTTTTTCTATATCTATATGGTTATAAGTTTTTTTTTTTTTTTTTTTTAAACTCATTCACCAAATATAAAACTGTCTAACCAATCATTGAACCAGCATTCCAATTTTCCAAAGTCATAAATACTACCAAGTACCAATGTCGATAGAAAAGTTAAATTCTTTATTTCTTTCATTAATACGCATGATTATCTCTCGGATCATACGGATCAAATCATGAAATAATAATGATAAGCTTGTTATGAATCGGTCTTGGGAGTACACTTTGGAGTAGTAGTGAGTTTAAAGGGTTTAGTCTTGAGGACAGGATTTTGCTCGAAAAAATTGGCCGGCCGGAGTTCAAAGCCACTGGATAAAGTAGGCATCGTCGGAAAATCCTCTTGGCATGGGACATGGTGGAATCCAACGGTGTACCACATGACTATATCTTTGTTCTCTATTTCTCTATTCCTGTGATTTTATCCACACAAAAGAAAAGATACACATTCTGTTAGAACATTAATTAAAAAAAAAAGTAGCAAATTTTAAATACAGTAGTGATGTAAATTTAAACTACCTTTGAGACCATACGGCTAATGTGTCGTCGCCTTGGCTACGATCGGCGTACAAACCGCTAGTCCAAACCTCGGACTTATTATACGGCGTGATCCACACGTTATAGTTGGTGAATGCTCCCCGTATCTGTGGGTAATCATCTTGGGTCAGTAGTGGGCCTGAAGCCGGCCCAGGAAATAAACGGTATCCAACGTCATTGCCATGCCTTGTTCTCTGGTTAGGGTTAACCACAACCAGCTCCTCCGCTCTCAGTCCTAGTCTCACCCGAGCCTCTGCCTCGGTTCTCGCTGTCTTTCGCTTTGTCGTCCAGTAGCTTA